GTTTGCTGTTGTCACAACTCTTTCCAGTGCTGGTTGTTGCACTTGTAACCCCAGTAAATCATCAGCTAAGTGCACAATGTTTATTTCCTACTCTTTTTCCCTCATTCTGTGAATTTGATAATTGGATGACATGACATGAACCTTTCATTTGTGTTCTTAGATCATGAAGAAGAGGGTTGTGATGATCTGGAGCACAGTGATTATGCACAGGCCAGCCACTTTTCCCACAGTGCTGAGCTAGAGGATGACTGGGAGGCAGATGTTTGATCTGGAGGAGGCAGCATTGTCTTCAGGACAAGCAGGTGACTTGTTCAAATTTAATACATGAAAGATGCGTCAGATGGACTAATAAATCCCAAGATGCTCAGTGGAAACGTTGGATTTTGGTTTGGTTAGATGACTTGTTAGGACTGCAGTTTTGGCCTTTAAACTTTGTGTACAGCCACTTAATCCAAATGTAAATGCCACAATAAAATACTGCACTGTAAGAAAATGTGTGCTGTGAATGCTGTCCGTTATTACTTGGGTTGAAAGGGAGTCTACACGGGCTGAGGCTTTTAAACAGTTTTAGTCAACAGTTAACATTTGAAGCGACTTGTTCAGGAAGCAAACATTGGTCAAAAGTCTAAGAGGAAACACTGGACAGTGTCAGAACAGCACAGACCATCACTTTACATTTTACAGTTTTATATTGACAACAGCTTCACAGAAGAGAAGAAGCAACCATGTTTGTAACAACATGTTAGGTACCAAGATAACATACCTGTGTCATACAGGTAAAACAAGTTATATTTTTTTTTATCAAAAAAGGCCAAAAAAAAATCCAATAGTTGATACTTAGTAGACAAACTGTCTCAGCTATGTAGTGATTTTTTTTTCCCCTCAAACAGTACAATTAGCAAAAATATTGCACAATATCAGCACTAAAAAATTAAGATGATAGTCTATAGATGTGATGTCCCACATAACACAATTATACCAGCCAGAAAAAACAAAAAGAAAAAATGAGAACATTGATATACAATTGTACACTGACATTTGTGCAGATATCTGCTTTTAACAAAATTGAGAACAAAATGGTTTCTTACATGGTAAATATGCAAACAGTTGTCTCTTCACTGTAGAAATATTCAGACTAAAAAGGTAGCACAACAGCAAATTAAGTAAAAACAACATTGTTCTCCAGTCTAACCACAGGACATTTTACTCATGCAGAACATAGTTCACAGTGATGACACTGACGTATATAGTTTAGCTAGAAGAGGTGTCCATCCTACCTCTGCTATGGCTTATGACAGGAGATGGAAGTCTGTTCACTAGTTGTCTAATGTTCTTAATACAGTTTATGCATAGGCCTGACGTGTTCCCAGGTAATAAGTGTGTTGTGTACTTGGGCTAATTTGCGCCGACACTAAAATTGTGCACTTAATTCCCTGTTAGGCTAGAAACGCAAATGAGCAACGTGCATGGCACTATTATTCTGTTAGCTGAGATCTGTCTGTAGCATAACATTTGGCATAATGCTAGGAGATATATACACACACACACATTCACACACAACTACTGTATTACTCTGGTGCTGTATTTTCTTTTCATGGCAGTGCATTAGTCAGACTAGTCATTTACTGTACAGTTCTAAAATTAAACTACAGTATACATCAGCTGCACAAGTCATATTATTGATACATGACAAGATCTTTCCCGTGTTCTCTAATGTGAGGCTCGTGTTCAACAGCCGAGCTGCTAAGTGTAGGTTTACAATAGATACATGGCTGAAACACAGGAAATTAGATGTATGCAACAGTTCATCTCCCTCTGAGTTTGTATTGAGGGTAGGCATCTCTTTTTCAAAAAACTGGAAAATGCCTAAAAGCTGCTGAATAAAAAACTCGAATGTTTAAGAAGATCAATGTGAGGTGTTAGCAAGAAGAACGAAGAAACTCGGGGATCCTGACATTCAATATGCCTTTGTGCACAGCAAACATTTTGTCATTAGTCAAAGTTCCAAATGTCAGTTTAGGCTACTGTATTTCTGTAAGTGAAAATAAAGCATTCTGACAGTATGCAACTTGCGTTAAAAATCAGAAAGCTATGCAGTAATGTTTTCAAGTGCCTTAGCTAACTACAGTAGCTTGCTAACCTGTCCCATCTCCCCGTCCCAACTTTCCCCTGGATCGGGTTATGTTTGGGGAAATATATAAATGGTAACACTAATTTTCCTCTCTCGTGCCATGTGTTAGCAAGCTATTGTAGTTGGCTAAGGCACCTGCAAACATACCGAGAAGTTTGCTGCACAAGTAGGCATATCGAGTGCCAGGATTCCTTTTTACCTGTTCTTCTTTCTAATGCATCACATTTTGTGGCAGTTTTTAAAACTAACTCTGGGATCTTTGCCTTCTTGGTAGTACATCCCTCCCTACAACACAGCTGCTTTTAGACATTTTTCAGTTTTTTGTATGAAGACCAAATTGTCAGAGATGCCTTCACATGATACAAACTCAATGGAGAGTGAAGATCTGCTTTAACCATGAGTAGAGGCAGCTCACGGTTTTAGTCTCTGTACGGGGAGTGTTAAATACTGTTAATATAGGAAATATGTCCTTTAAATTTCTTTTTTTTTTTAAAACTAGTTTAGACAAATGAAATTATTTATTCAGTCATAGTTTATAGAAATGTTTTGTATCTGTAAATTAGTAATTTGTGCACTTAATCTTGAATTAAATGAATAATTCGGTTTACTATTTCACACCTTCATGTGCTTAGAGGTAGCTCAGCCACATTGATATCACTGGATTTAACTACTGCCTCATTTAGCTCACAGGGAAAAAATTATTTGAACCCCAGCTGATTTTGTAAGTTTGCCCACTAACAAAGAAATGATCAGTCTACAATGTCAATGGTAGGTTTATGTGAACAGTGAGAGACACAACAATAACAAAAAAACCAGAAAAATGCATTACAAAAAAAGTTATAAAGTAATTTGCATTTTCATGAATGAAATAAGTATTTGATCCCTTTGCAAAACGTGCTTTAGTACTTGGTGGCAAAACCTTTGTTGGCAATCACAGAGGTCAGACGTTTCTTGTAGTTGGCCACAAGGTTTGCACACATCTCAGGGGGGATTTTGACCCACTCCTCTTTGCAGATCCTCTCCAAGT